TAATGCATTTCACGCAATTTCGAATGCATTTTTTAATTTCTTTTTTTTAGATTTATTACCCAGTACTTTCTTCTTATTGCTGCTTCCATTAATTGGCTGCCACCATGCAATGTTTTGCTATGTGCATCCATAACAATTAACTCTGATAAGTGCGATTTATTAATAATTGCTGGATGTTTTTGCTCATATGATATGTTTGAGTTCCTCAGCCTACCGCCTACTCGTAACACACCCTCGCCATCGATGAATGGATACAAGTTTGATAACTTACTGCATTGCTTTATATTTTCTTTTTTCAGCAGCTTTTGAAATTCATTTTCAAATTCTTTATGTTGATGCCTTTTGATTATTTCTATTTCTGCCGTTTTTAATTCTTCTGATGATAGATATTGTGAATGGAATTTCGTTTTTCGCAGTTTATTTATAAAACGCAATACATAAGCAAACACTCTAATTAGTTTTGAAAAACTGGAGTATTTTTCTGTAAGAGACTCTAGAGGGTGCTGTTCATTAATTTTACTCACTGCAGTTACCGCGCATGTTGTCTTCTCGCTGATTGATTTGGGCCACTTGTCTTCTGATTCTTTCAACCAGTCTGGACCATTCCACCACAATTTGTGTATTTGTAATTTATAGGGAGGAATTCCTCTCGATGCTACGTCTGCTGGATTTTCTTTAGAAACTACATGATTCCATTTTGCACTTGGAATCAAATTCTTAATGTCGCTGACTCTAGTTCGAATAAATTTGTCTTTACTTTTGTTGGTTTCTATCCAACTTAAAGTAATAGTAGAATCGCTCCATGTGTAGATTTTCGTTTTGGGCTGAATCGTGATTAACATTCGATGTAATAGTTTTGATAATAGGTGAGCTGCACAAAGTTCTAGTTTAGGCAAAGTTTTCCTATTTTTCATCGGATTCACTTTACTTTTTGCTGCTACCATGGTTATTTGCCCATCACATTTAATGTACACTACTGCTGCGTATGCTTTTTCTGATGCATCTGCAAAACCGTGCAGCTCTACATCCATTATTTGAGATGTTTTAGTCCATCTAGGGATTTTTATGTTACACAGTGCACTTATATTTTTTGTAAATTCAAACCATTCTATTTTTAATTCGGCTGATAATTCTTCATCCCAAGTAAGCTTCTGTGTCCAAAGCTTTTGAATAAATATTTTCAACACAATAGTTATTGGAGATAGCCACCCAAGTGGCTAAGTTTGACAATATTTGTCGTTTTATAATCTTGCTCTCTTTCAGGTTGATTTCGAACTTGAATTCATCTTTTTTAGGATCCCATTTAAGCCCTAACGTTTTCACGATTTCATCACTATTTATTAAATAATTTTCTTCACTGCGCTGTTGCATACTATCTTCCAGTACCGAAGAATTATTCGTGAGCCATTTTCTTAAATGAAAACCAAACTTCATTAATTGTTGCTCAACTTTTTGTTTAATTTCACTACACTCTTGTACACTATCTGCTCCAGTCATGAGGTCATCCATGTAAAAGTCTTCTTCGATAACTTACTTCACTCTTTCTTCATTGCAGTCCTCAGCGATTTTTATTAAGCTGCGTACTGCCAAAAATGGTGCTGAAGCTGTTCCATAAGTAACAGTAGTTAACCTGAACACTGTTAATGGCTTTTTACTGTCATTTCTCCACAGTATGTTTTGATAAAGTTGATCTTCTTTAAAAATTCGAATTTGACGGAACATTTTTTCAACGTCTGCTGTCACCACAAATTTCCACAGTCTCCATTTTAAAATTATGTCAAAAATGTCTTTTTGTAATTTAGGTCCCGTGTACATTACATCGTTAAGGCTTCTCCCGTTCGATGTTTTGGCTGATGCGTCGAATACCACCCTCAGTTTCGTAGTGGTACTGCTTTCGCGAATAACAGCTTGGTGGGGAAGATAATATTTACAGTCTCTTTCATCAAATATTCTTACCATATGTCCCAGTTTTTGGTATTCGTCGATGAATTTGGCGTATTCATTTTTCAAGGTGACATCTTGAGCCATCCTTTTTTCCAGTGCAAGAAAACGTGCCACAGCTTGCTTCCTGGATTCTCCCAAAGCGCAGTCTTCTTTGAAAGGTATCTTCACAGTAATCCTTCCCTTTTCTTCTAGCTTGGTAGTGTCTTTATAAATTTTTAGACACAACTCGTCTTCGTTGGATGACTCGGTTTCAGTTCGGACTTCTTCCAGTTCCCAAAATTTCTCTATACTGGTCATTGCTGACACAATTTTGTTATTGTCAGCGTTTACTGTGACAGCTCCGGAAAGTATCCAACCTAATTTAGTTGATTGCCCTAGGATGCCACACTTTTTGATAACGCCTTCTTCCAAGATGTCACCGAATATGTCGCTGCCTATTACAACGTCAATTCTGTCTGACTTGTTGTACAAAGGGTCTGCCAAGACATAATTCTTCCATTCTTCTATATCTTGCTTAAATGTCTTTTCTGGTTGAACACTTGTCAGCGCCGGCAGAATTAAGGCTTCTGCTGTAACTAAGTAGTCGCTGCTAAATCTTGGCTGTATCTGTATTTTTATTTTATTCTTAGAAACGCCAACTTTGGTACCGCCAAGACCGTATATTTCGGTTTTCGATTTCATTGGAGGTAAATTTAGTAACTGGCTAGCCTCTTCGGAAATCGTGGTCTTTTGTGACCCTTGATCGACAAGAGCTCGAAGTAAAATATGCTCGCCATTAGCTGATTTGATTCTTATTTGTGCTGTGGCTAAAAGCACTGCTGGTGAGTTTTCCCTAGATACCATTGTGGTCACTTTTCCGACCTCTTTCGGTTTATAGTCTTCATGTAGCAGAAAGTGATGTTTAAACCCA